TGGTTTCTGTTTCTGTTTCTGTTTCTGAGAGGCATCAAACATGCAATGTCATTTGTCAACATGTTAGGGAGAGGGGCGTTTTTCTACGTGATACCCATGCTGAAAATTATAAAATAAACTCTTACAGAAGACCAGTTCGAGCATTGTTCATCTTTAAAATTCTCTACAAAAAGACACCATCTTAGAATTTGTCTTGAAAAATATTAAAATTACTTCTTACCAGAGTGACAAGAGATTTCGCCCCGCTCACGCCAGAGCCCCCCCTTCCCCCTTTAGCATGCGTGAGTCGTGCCTTATCTCAAGTAAAAATCTAAAAAACCACAGTTCTAAAAATACATTCGTTTTAAATTCATAAGGGCACGTTTTCAAACTGACCTTCGTCAGAGAGGTAGTGGTCCAATAATAACCTTGATTGTAAGCTAAAGTTTACGACAATTCTTTGAGGAGTTTCCCCTCTTTGAAGAAAAAACTACAAGGAAGCATTTTTACGAGAGGTGCACGTGGAAACCTTTCTTTAACTTTGATACGTTGAATGAAATTTACAACTTGGTTTATTCTTTAGGGTTCTTTCTCTATTTAACGTTTGCTTGGTAAATTTAAGATATAAGGGGAAATTGGGGAATATTTAATTTTGTACAAAAATATTGATTTAAGTAATAATTTGAGCGTGTGCAAACGAGGATGCGGTGAACCAGTTGCTGTGATTGTATCTAAATTATGTTTGGCAAATGTCACGTAGCGAAACGAACACAAATAATGGATCATATCTGTCGTAACATATACAGGTTTTCTTTGCTGTCTATGTCACTACAGCTACATTTATTACCCCTCAGCTTGAGAAGGATACCTGCCCACAAAGAAGTGTACCACAACATTCTCGTTGGCACGTTTCATTAGTAACTTGCTCGTACTCATCTTTACTTCCGGGTTTTAAGAGGCACTAGAAGATTTACGAGTTGACGAACATAGTTGTGTGACCTCAAACAGGACAACGACACGAATGTAATTGATTCTTAATTTGTATTTTGAATTACGTTTTTTTTTTCCTTCTAAGTCAATTTCGTCATTCTTCTTCCTGAAAAGCATTTTTTTTACTTTTCCTTGATAGAGGTCCATCCAAAAGAGCTACATTATTAACAAGGTCCACGGCAGTTTTAAGATAGGAGAAAATAAAACCGTTGACAAAATTAAGTTACGTTTTGGCGTGAAAAAACACGTACACCTGACTAACTTGTTTTTCAATTAACAACACAAAGTATTATGTGATTGATTTTTTTTCATTATGTCAAATGTTATCAAGGATTGAAATGCAAACAGTAGATAAGGTAATGAACCGAGAAAACATGTAAGATATAATATGCGTATTTGCTTAATCTAAAAGATTAAAAACCCAATGAATTTTTCGTGTAATTAAACACAGCTGAACTTGGCAATGCGAACTTGGAGTTACGTAATCGACTTTAACCAAGGTAAAATACACGATTACCTCATAACTGCAATATCCTTTGTTTTTAAAGATAGCGGGACTATTCACAATTGTGAAAGTGTTACTGATAAAACGTGATAATTTCTTACATATTAAATCTAGGCTAGAAATGAAGAGGTGCTTAAAAAAAACCCCATCTGTTTTAAGGCTTAATTAATGCCTCATAGTGTTTTCTTCCGTTTCAGTAAAGACCCTGGAACACGCATTTCAGAAACAAGGGATCTAAGGAATTAACAGAAGGACACTTCCGTCTAGGGCGTGGTATTAGTAACGATCTTGGACTATAATTAGGCTCTTTCCATAGAGTGACTCAGGGGTTTTTCTATTTCTAAAAACAAACAGCACTACTTGTAAATCGTGTCCTTACGTGGGTGTGTTTTGGAACACAGCTACAATGTTTATTTTCTCCTCAAATGAAGCATCGTGATGGAATTTATAAACCTTTTAACCAAGGTATTTACAATCTACGTCAACTGGTAGTGTGAAATTTGCAGTTGTTTAAAATCTGAAAAAAATACAATTTAAAAGTGCATTAGGACGTAAAACAGCAGCAATCTGGAAGATACGATTGCAAACTATTCCTGAACAATTCGAAACATTAATATCAGTGAAACAGCTCAAGGAGGTCAATGTTTATTTACAGACCTCACGTACAAGGTCCATTACATTGAGAAGGACACGTACAGAAAATTGGTTTTGGATGCGTTCCACCTCTCTTGTTTTGTGGTTAGCGAATCGTGTACGAGCGTCATCAAAAGGTTATAAGTTCAAGTCAATTAATCTCCACTTCGAAACATATGAATTACAAACGCTACTTTCTCAACAGAGTGTAACACACATGAGATGAAATAAAAAAGAGCCACACAGTGGAATGCTTTAAAGCCATTAAAAGCTTTGTGGTAAGCGTAAAGTGTTTGCAAAATCATGCTTTTCATTAAGATTGGGAAAGCTGACCTTCAAACTGATATCAGGTAGCTCTATCATGAGTCTTACACAAACCTCTACATACATTTAATTTAAAACTGACTTTTTGTTTCGAACTGTTTTTATTTCGAACTGTTTTTATTTCGAACTGTATGCAGTGAAAGTGTTCTACATGCAATTAATTTCTCATGGCATTGTCATATTAAACAAATCTGTTTTGTTCAGTAACAAAAGTAACTGTTCTGCGGGAAGAGGAACTGACAGCTTACACGAGCTTGGTGATCGCTATCTTTCGTCACAGTGTTTGATTTTGGCTCGCTTTTACATTCTTCTCATTGTGTGAAATTTTTTTGCAGTTTTCATTTCATTGCGGGAAAGAATGGCCTTTCAACATGTGTCTCTTCATTTGAAGTGCTCGCCAAACTCCCTTACTTTATTTGATATCAACATAATTAGCTTAGCTTTACACATCAGAGAGATTTCTGTTTGAGGCATGGCATGCACCTTTGATCAGTACGTACACTTAGTAATTTTTCATCGGAAACATTTGAAATTCAAAATTCTGCCTGAGCCTCGGGGAATATAGTGTTCATAAAAAAGTAATTTCTTTATCAAAGCACCTTCATCTAATGGGCTAAAGGTTGTCTGATTTAAAGCCATGCAAACGACGCTCAAGTTTCTCTTCCACGTGATCTCTTTCGTGCGAGATTTTTGAGGACAACTCGACAAACGAGAACTTTCTACTAGTGACGAACGTGTTTCTCAGAACTGTGATTATGTTAGTCTAATCACAGACCTTTCTGTTTACTTATCCTCCCGCTGACAGTGGACTGCGTTTATTTACTTTCAAAAGTCTTCTGCATGGGTAAGAAGGCGCTATTGCCTTCCACCAAATTACATAACGATGGAATGTTTGGGTGCCAAATCAAGCCTTGAACAGTTCCACTTATATAATTTAATTATGATATTTAGTAAAAGACAAACAGCAAATAAATGATGTCATGTGCTGTATTTTAAAATGAAGCGCAAGGAGTGTGTGTCCGACTCATAAATTGCCAAGTATGTGATAAACCCCCATTAATAAATGGAACCTAGATGCTCTCCTTAAAACGTTCAAAAGGCCTGCCGCAAAAAAAGAGCAAGTAGCTTGAAGTGTACAGACCGCGAACCTGTAATCTTTTCGTGCAGGTAAGGCGCGCACATTTAGAAGAAGCAATTTGAAAAAAATTGTTTTCAATACAGCTTCCATCAGTGATTGTTGTTAGTACCGGGAGAAAGGCAAAATGTATACTTCCGCTCAATAGAAATTCATTTTGTTTTTTAAGGTTACGAAACGACAGATTCGATCTTTTAAAAACTTTAAGTAACTGCAGAACTAACCCTCAGTTTCATTGAGAAAACTGTTAGAAAAAATGAGTTGGTTTGTAAGTTATATTCCACTAAAAAAATTTTCCTGTGAGCACGTGCTTTCTATGATCTTCTAGCAAACCTGAACTATTTTGACCTTTTTCAAAAGCGTTACCCTGCTGTTATGGAAAGCTTCCAGTAAAAATATCACGGAATGCCTTTTACTTTCAAGTAGAAGGACCTGAGAAAAGCAGATGAATTGTTACTGAAAGCTTAACGTCTAGATATGCCAGACTACCTTGCAGATGGTATTTAATTCAACCAAGTTCTCTCTTGAATAGGTGAAACATTTCCGAATTCAACGTCTTGCCTAGTTCAACCCACGTGAGTGACGCAAATTAATTTCGAACCGCAAAAAGTGTTATCAAGGGCAAATTCCTCTCCAGTAAATTATTTTCTGCGGAGGAAAATCTTAGAGCGTTAATAGACGTAGTCTTGCTACCGATAATAGAAAGACATAATTTTTATAAGAACTCGATGCAGGGTTAGATATGGTCTGAAGAGATTTCGTTATCTTTTGCCAACGAAACTCATTTGTAATCTCTCTTTTCACTTGAGCCGGTCAGTAGATATAACATGGTAAAGAACATTATTCCTTCATAACAGAGTTTTTTTAGCCCTCGAGCAGGCCATCGTAATCAGTGCTTTGGCTGGAAGGTTTCTTCGAAAATACGAGGCCTTAAACAACGCTTGAAAAGTTTGAAAATTTTTCAAACGTTACGTGTACAGAGACGTGGTGACAGAAATATGTCGATTGTCCTAAAAGAGATATCAAGCTCTCCGACTTGGACACCTTTCCCTACTTATGTATACAAATAACAACTTAAATTACAAAAAGATTCACTCTACAGAGCTTGCCTGATTATCTTATTCTACTCAATAATATTTTCACAGTTGTTCGGCGTAATTTCCCTTTCCTTCGCCCCCAACCCCCACCAAAATAATTTTATCACGTGTGTTCTTTTCCTTAATCACCGTCGCTTCCCTAGGTCTGAAGTCCGTTTCTCCCGAAAAAAGCTGAGGGAGTACGAGAGCATGTTCTATATGAAATGGCCTATCAATAGCCTTCGTTATTCACCCCTCCTTCTCTTCCGGGCTACATGTAGATGATCTTATTTAAGGCGAGCTCACACAAAATTCATCTTCCATAAACTGAACGTGACATATAAGCCTTACAACAAGATAGCGCAAATAGAAATGTCTACCATCTTTGATTATGGCGATGACATTTTTGCTTTATTCCACACTATTATCTAGTGGTAATAGGGCAAGCTACGAAAACTTCTGTGTTTATTATCAGACAGTTTTAATTTCTTTTTCTCAACCAATTCATCTGGCACGTTCTACAGGAACCGGCGTATCAACAACCTTGAATAGTCACTCCTCACTCTCTTCCAGGTATTTGGGAAGCTGCATTGTCACTCTTCTGTATAGCCTTTCCTTTTTTTTCTCTCAGGTATGAGTTCAAATATGCATGAAAACCTTGCAGTTCTCGAGGGAGATCCACCGTTGACTTAATTATATTTTAATATTTGCGAATGATTCAATGTCAATCAGCAAGTAGGTGACTTCAGTTTGATTTGTAATTAATTGATTTTAAAATTTTTTTCGTAATTCCTCGGAAACCAACAGACATAATGTTTCACCAAAAAAATATAAAGCTACAAAAAGACCATTTTTGTCTTTAAATGCGAACAACAAATGTGTTCTCTTATTCATCACGTCAAGTTTGGTAGTTCAAGGTTAGCCATAGTCAGAGCACACGTGCTGCTACTTTGTACGCTTCATGAAGGTATTGGGTCGTATCCTACAGCTTTTACGCGAGTTAAGACCACAGGTTGATTAGAGTTCAGAGAGATTTCAGTTCTAATTTTCTGTGCTTGCAGTTCAAAAACGTATAAAATACTAAGTAATCAAAAGTTTACGTTTACACAACAATGTATAATTAGAATACTAGAAGTAGAACCTCAGCAACTTTACTGCCAAGGGAAACGAAAATCAATAGTCCATTTTACAGTTGTGTGCTTGGTTGCCAGGCCTTTGAACTGGAGTGAGGTTAAGGTGGACCTTGTTATGATACAAACCTTGCTGCTTTTCAAATGCAAATTACTTTGTTATCATGCTAACCAGATACTGGTCTCTATTACAACAAGGTCACCTTCAGTCTCACTCCAAATCAAAGTATTGGCAACTAGGTACACAACTGTAAAATGGCCTATTTGAGATGTGATGTTGATAGCAGATAACTGCATATTGCACTCTGAAGGGAAGTGGCGTTAAGTTCGACTAAGGCAGCAACAAAGCTGCCTTGCTCTTACATGAATATAAGACCTGTGGGTCGACAAGCAGACCATACCATTAAAATCGGTGGGAAGCGCAGTTGCGTCAAGTTCGACCTACCTCCAAAGTTCGTCTGTACGTACATGAATACAAGACTCGTGGCTTAGTAAAACTGGAAATTAAAATGAAATGTTTATTTGGAACATTTTATAAAGACATATTCTTCCAGTAAAATGCACGCTTGAAGATTATCATGGTTCTACAAGCAGATGGAAATCACTAAGAAGGGAAGTGGCGTCAAATGACCTCAAGTTCGACTTTGCACCGAAGCTCCTCTGCGCTTACATAAATCAAGGACTCGTGGCTAAGTAAAAAACGAAAAGGTAAACTTTGTTTTGGAACATTTTAAAAGCATACTCTTTTGCAGTAAAATGAGTGCTTGCAATCATGGGTCTACAAGCATATTACTCCATTGAAATCGTTGGAAAACTTAACATGATGACAAGAAGATTTGCTATAGATCATGCCCTGTCTCCTAAGATCTACAAAAATCAAAGAAAAAATAAAAAGGTAAAAAACACATGTTTTCTAAGATTGCAGTTTCTTCCCATCGAACGTCGAACAATTTCTTCTCAGGAATGTACGCGCAAGCCTTGCGGTTTCACATCTTCAATTAATTTCTTTTGGTTGGGTTTCCAGACACTGTAACCTGTTCATAATCACATTTAATCACCGCCACGTTGTCTACCAGACTTGTAAACCTATAACTAGAAAGTAAGTAGCCTGTTTGATCTACAAGCCGCATAATGTGAGGGGCGTATCTGTGGGGTAGTGAGATGTGATACTTAAAAAAAAATGTCCACCCACGTGAATTGAGAGAAATTCTTTCGAACAAAAAGTGTTGTCAATGCATTACCAGCTCTTCAAACTTTATCGATAGATATTACAGTTTCCTTTCCTTTCCTTTCCTTTAGCAAGCTAGATATAAACTCCCATATGAGAAAATCGACCAGCTTCATTGAAAAAGGTTTTGCTTTCCTCTCATAACACCTTTCTGGATCGTGCATTCCATGCATGGGTATAACGCGCCTGAAGGATTTCGTTACGCCGAAGCAAACCTATTTACATAAAAGCACCGGTTCATAATTCAGACTCTTTTCACGTTAGCTGATTACCAGAAATTCTAAAGAATAAAGAACCTTATCCCGTGGAAATCACAAATTTGTCTTATCCTCTCCCCTATGACGTGTGTACAGAAATAACCTCGATAATTTGATTCATGACCGTTTGTCAGGAATTACACGAGGTCAAAAACACGCCACGCTAAGATAAATCTCGCAAAAAAACTAAAAGGCCGTCTATATTCAAGTTAATTCCGTAAATTTCTCACCTTCTGGTGGTAAGAGACGAGCAACGAGACAAATGTGATTCTCTCCGGATAGTTATATCATTCGTCAAAGACGTATTAATTTTATCAAAAGTTCCTGTCGTTTTAGCCGGAAATAAGCTATTTGCAGTGCTAATGAAAGACTTGTGTCACTTTAAAAAAGGCCGGAGGAAAGGAATTTTTTTTCTCGAGAGAAGAATTCTTTTATCCTTAGTCATTTTAATTCTTAAAAAACCGACCTAGCAAAAATTTTTTCTCCTTCCTGTTAAGATCTGTAAGTTGTAGTCGGCTTTTCTTTGTTTCTGCATGCGAAAAAGATCAACTAAGTAAATTACGAACAAGATACTCGACCCTAAGCCAATTAAACACGAAAAGTGAGGAAGGCTCACAATATCCTCTCTGTTAACACGGAAACGTCCGTAGTTTCGACGCCAGTTTGTATGCTTCAGTTGTGCTATCCGATCTGTCTGATGCCACATGTGCCGTTCCCGACTGGTTAATAAACTGAGAAAATCTCATCTACCTCAGGCGCTTATTTCAAGTAATATATTATCACGTTGTGTGTTGCATTCTGAGACGAAACCGCAACAGTTCACAGCCTGTAATTCTCTAGACCTACAGGCGATAGGTCTTACTCCACTGTGTCTGTACCAAAGGAAATTTGTTGTGGTACAGCCCCTATCGATAATAAGAGCGAGTGAATCAGACCCAACCAAGGGCGTACTTATGAACAATACACATACGATTTTTTTAAGTATACTTCATTGAAATGTATATGACGCGCTAAAACCTTTCTGTTTTTTTGAAGACTGAAGGCTCAGTCTGTTTCACTCCACTAAACTAGTGTACCCCTTCCCTACTTTGAAACCGCTCTGCTGGTTTGGTCTCTATGCAAACCGCAGAATTTCATATTATGTCAGTAGCTAGACCTAAAGGTGACAAACCTTGTTCTGCAGTGTCTGTGAGAAAGGTCACTTCTTATGGTTGTGCATTTGTGCGAGAGAATTCAGTTAACTGTACTGGAAAAACACAGTACAATCTTTTAGGGCTTCTTCTATCTGCGAGCATGCTGCAATACACAACACGCTTTTTTTCACTTTGAATAATTGAACAATGACGCTTTGTTAGTATAATCACCGAGTCCCGCAAAAGACAATTTTGCATGGCATGATTAGTTGGATGTTGTCGATTGTTTCGTGCGGCGGAACCAACCCTCAGTTTCAACGAAAAAAAAATTCACTTTGTATGTCCGAGACCTCACATTTGACACTTTCCAAAGGAAAATCCTCTGTATCACCCAAATGCGGCGATTGCTTTTAGTCTTCGCTGTCGCACCGCGCACTCGACTTAAGCTTTGCTTGGGAACACTTGTTGCGGGGGTATGCATATCTGAGTTTGTAGCCAATAATTAGAACCAAGTTTCGTTTTTTTAGGCACTGTAACCAGTGTTATTACTGTTACCTTCGTTAGAACTGCTGTTCATTTATTTATTTTTTAATATATAAAGAGATGACTGAGTTCTCCTCCGTCATTTCTTCTCCATCGTTTGTTCTCAACTTTTCTAAACATAATAAGATCTCTGATTCGCTAAAATAATCATGTTTCGGCAAATGCGTTAATTCATCATTTGTCAAGAATTAAATGCTATAGCTGCATTAAGTACAACTGATAGCAATTATCTAATTTTAAATTACGTTCCCTGTTTTTCTTTTTTACACAGGATTTATACCCCTCCGAACGCAAACCTTGATAGGCAGTGTAAACATTCAGACCAGCTATATAAACATAGGCGTGGACATTGCAAGCTGTTTTTTTCCTTAAACTAAATTAGATTGTTACAGACTTCAAATACATCCCGGTATTGTTATTCTAAAGTTTAACGAATCTTAATACACATTCTTCACTAAAAAATTAATGTTACCAAATTTTGCTGACACTTAAAGGTAACTTTAAACTTAAAGGGTATTTCTATTGCATAGTTTATGTTCAGTGATACAGTTGCATTTTGATTATAAGATTCATCGTGAAAGATTGTGATCCTCTACATTCCCAAGGTCAGACAAACACCACCACCTCAGATTACCCCCAGCTACATAAGCACCTCAGGAAGTAATTTTTTCAAGAGCTTAGAGACTAATTCTTTTCAATAACATAGAGGTCGTTGCCCTACCACTAAAACCCCATAGCTGATGTAGTGCAATCAGGTTAGCTTCATGTAGATGGCCTTATTTCAGACGCACTCGCACAAATTTCATCTTTCACGAAACATGGCATCTGTTTTCTAGTAAACCATAGCAAAGATAAAAATGTTCACCATCTTTAGTGATGGCAGCGAAGTTTTCGCTTTGTTCCTCGCTATTATCTGTGGGTAAAAGGGAAGGTTACAAAGTTACACTTTTGTGATCATTCTCAGACAGTTTATACTTATTTTTTCTCATCCAATTCGCTTGACAATTTTAATATTCCTAAACCTGGGTAAGAATAAATATTATATAATAATCTCTCTTACAGTGAGTATGAAATTCAGTTTACGGTTAATGAACAATAAAATATGAGAAACATTAATTTTGTTACGGCCTCCTGAATCGGGTTAGGTTACGTTAAAAAAAAAACATTAATGCACACCAGGCAAATGCCACAACGTAAAAAAATTTCTACTGCGTTTGTCAGTAACATTCGAATAGTAAAGTTCAGAACTCAGAACACCATCAATCAGAATGACAGGAATCAACAGACAAAGTTGGCTAACAACCGCTGATCAGTACAAAGTCACGCGAATTTTTTGTTTGATTAACAGCGAAGTAAGAGTTTTGTACTTCAATGTCTTTCAAACTTAATGTCACAGCTAGGCACAATGACTAAATAGGCAACAAACACTCGTAAATACTGTACAAACATTTTTTCTTACATTTACTCGTAGCATGACGTGAAATTTCCTATGACCTTTTTCCCAAGCCATGTAGTCTACGCAGTACCTACATGAAGTTTTTCCTTGGATCATCTCTAACATTGCTTTTTGTACAAATTAAATGCGATGCATATTCATTTTTCTGTTATATCTGAATACCTCTGACTTGTATGAGTACGCTATTCGTATCACGCACATCATCCGAATAAAATTTAAGTATATTTGATATAATACACATTATAATAACTCGTCTTTCACGTACTCAAGATATCTCCTCTATACATTTTGTGAATAAGAAATCCAAATTTTCATTTAAATTAAGAAAAAATAACAAAAACAAAAAACAAAAATGTATGCCTTTTTTATCCAGCTTATATTGCCTATTCACTCTTGAGATCTAAATTTCAACTCTCCGCACTGTCTACTGTTTTGTTTTTTAATATCATTTGAGCTCTGAGAATTTTAACGTTAATGAAATAAAAAAAAAAACATTCCCTGTTGATATTTTCTTTCCTCTCATCTCCTTTCTGCTTGGAAATTTAGAGTTATTGTAATAAGAAATTCCTTTATGATAAGGTTTAAGTTATGTGATATCTTTCTGTCGAGGCGGTCGTTCCAGATTTCGTTTTACTGATTGTACAAGCCATTCAATTCCAATACCTAACCCATCTCTACGAAAAAAAAGGAGAAAAAACATAATCTCAGGGACTAGTCATTATTATCACCTGGGGAGAGTACTTGGGTTCTGTCACAATAAAATTTACCTGATCACCCCTTCCTCCCTAATTGTTAATCAATTTTCTGTAACCCCCCCCTTTATGCTCTGTTAGCAATGACTGATTCCCCCTCCACTGCCCTTGATAACCATGCGATCCCCTCAAAAATCCTCTGTCCCCACCCCCCTCCCCTTTTCCCCTGCAAAAAATACTGGCTGGTCCCTTACCTAAAAAGTTTATCATGGACAGTGGTATGCAATCATCAGAAGTGAAAGTGCTGTATGGTATTATGATTTTAGTTGGTACAGTGTCACTTAAAGTTAAACTAAATGTAATTCTCAAGGAGAAAATCCATTAACAATGGAAGAATAATTTGCTGTAATATAAACCAAAAATGTGGGATATGTGATGGTGAGATCTTGGAACAGTTGTCATAAATCATCACATAGAAATTGATTTGAATCCAAGCATAGAAAAAATCTAGATGAGCCTCAAACTTCTCATTTTAACCTAACAGTGAGAGAAGCTAACTGTTTAATACACAATTATAAGAAGTAAGAAAATCTTTAAAGGAGAGGAAATGTGCAGGTGTCTCGCAATGGAAAACCACTTAGGAAAAATTTTCTCAGTTAAAGGTATATTGTGGTTGATGCTTCCATGATGTCCTGAAGACAAAGGCTCCCAACAAGTCTTTGAAAAACGAGTGTAAACAGGAAGCCAGTGTGTACCCATTGTAGCCAGTCATTCAATAAATATGTACATGTACATTAAAGAGCAAGAGAACTTTTACGCCTAATAGTACGTTGCCCTAAATTTTTTTGTAAGTGCTTTAATTTTAAAGCAGCCTTATCAGAAAATTTAATATATTACAGCAAATGTCTGATAATCCTGAGTTTAAAATTTCTCTTTTCCCAGGCTATTGAAGATTTCCCAATTTATACAGCACAGCACATCAATGAAATTTTTTTACCATTTTAATTTAATTTCAAAGAGGAGAGGAGTTTGTAAAATTTGGGAGGGCAATGAGGCATGTAAAGTTGGACTGTTTAGAATATTTCCAACTTAAAAGAACCCAGCTCCTCAGGTTTTGAGTGGGTATTTAAAACAGCCATGTGGTTTTAACTGCGTGAATGACAATTATTTCCTGTTGTGTAAATGTGGGAAGCTACGTGTACAAAAGGAAGGCCTTTTTTTAAAAATTATTTAATTTAATTCCAGCTCACTGGGCATTGTTTTTTTTGTTCACCAAATTGAATGTGTACATGTGAACAAATTGTAGACATGGTGACCCATAACATGTCTATGTTGATAACAATCTTGTTATGTTCCATGGGAAGCAAAGCAAACCTAAGGATAGGTTATGTAAAAAAAAGTTCAGCCATTGTTTAATAAAATGGTGTTCTAAACTATCTTCAACTTTTTCAAACCTTTTATCTATTTAAGTAAACTGTCATTTTTGTGAACAGTGTCAAGAGGGCCAAAAGTTAACAGGAAGGACATTTATCTAATTAAATTAACCCACTGTCTGTGTAAAGCTGCAACTTGGGTTAGACCTTCTACAAAGCAGCCCTTAATGTTTGATAATTTTCAAATGTGTCATTTTGAAGCATGGGCAGAAGATGAAATGTTGAATTGTGGAGGTAATGCCTAACTACATGTGAGAATGGTTTCATTTTCAACATAAAGCACGGAGTTTCTGAAAAGTTGGGATGACCCATTTATAGTGGAACATCAGTGTTTCTGTAAGCTACCAGGATCAAGTTATTTTGAAATTGTGCCAAGTGTAAGGGATTGTGTATGTATGCAAATTGAGAACCTGGAATCCTAAAAATCACTCATCTTGATTAGCTAAAGATATTAGAAATTGATTCAGATAACTATTTGAGCAAGTATAAAAGGGGGTAAGTTTCTAAAAATAAAAATTGCTGCATCAGTAAGGGAGTATAACAAGACAATTTGATTTTATCAGCTGAGTTGATAAATAATGTATTTCTAACTTAGCCACCATAAGGAGTTCCAAAGCTGATATTTCAAGCTTTAGCCCTTTGTCAGAGCCAATGGAGGCATTGTGGGTTGTGTGTGCATTTATATGCAGAAAGTGGAACTGTGATATTGGTGGGAACACGGTGACAAAAAAAACAAGAATAAATTAGTTGAATGAAAAGTGTTCCTTGATGTGGTGGGGATCAAGAGTGCCAATTTGAAGATAAGTTTTTGTTCTAGAGTTTTGCAGCTTTCCGAACTGCCTAGATGTAAGGAAAGGTTCCAGACTGCCATGTGCTGCTTAGAGTGACTACAGAGATTAATGTGTCTAGCAGCTGGTTTGGATGTGTCCTGATTATCTCTTTCAACATTGCAAAGGTGTTTTAGGAATTGGGCACCTACAGTAGTCCTCTCCCTGTTTCACCAATGTATATCTTTTTGCAATAAGTGTAAGTTATATGTACAAGTACATGTTACTGGCAGTGATACTACAATACACAAATAGGAGATGTGCATTGATAAAAAAGAACAACTTGTACATTGCATATGTACTGGAACTACAATTCTGAAGTTACAAATAAATAATAAAGAACTCAGCCAAACAAGAATGGTAATTGCATATGTAACAATTATAGTAAGCGTCATTGTCATCATCACCATTATCAGCACTGGTGTAAATTATATTTACAATAAAAGCTGTAAAATAAATCCAGATTGGAATACATCCAAAATAATGTTTAAATACTGAGATCTACATGAAAGAATGGCTAAGTACATGTAAAGGAATGAGAGGATTCAGAGTATAACAATTGGTTAAAAGAAGATCCTAATAATTACCACAATAAGCATGAACAACAATTAAAGAAATTGATATTGTTGAGAAAAATCAGTTGGCTAGTTTCACAAAGCAACATTTCTTTACTCACCCACTTAAAGCTGATGTTGGCTGAATAAAATAATCAAGTTGCCCATTGCTAGATGAGTCATCATGGAAGAAATTTTTAATGGCTTCCACTCCCTGAGAACCCTTTTAAAGCAAAATAAATATGTGTAGTTATCATCTAGATACAAGGTTCAAATTTTCATTGATTTAATTAGTGTAGACACTACACAATGGTATTGTAAATAAGAAATTTATACAGTTTAATACCCAACAACATACAGCACCAGGTAGAGCTATATTCAATTTAGTATCATTAAGTTGTAATCAGTGTCAAAATTATTTGACACATTATTTTTCCTGTTTTTTACCACAATCTAAATCATTGACAAGACCCCCCCCCCTTACCCATCCAATGTTGCCTGCATGTAGCTAAAGGTCCATGGAATCACCATACAACATTGTTTTGGGGGGAGGGGGGCAAATAAGTTAACTTAACAAAGGCAGTAGAGATAAAACTGAAGTAACAAGGGGTTGAAAAAATCAATATGTTGACAATTTTGTTGCCGATTGTACATGTAGCTTCAGTATGTACACCCTAAATGACTGCTAATGATTGACAAACCTCTAGATCTTGCTTGTTCACAAGAATTAGCAAAGGAATTCCTTGTAACTGAGGATCTTGAACTACTTTGTCTACAAAAATAAATAATAAGCTTTGTTACTTTAGACTTAAAGTGAACGAAAATGACATACACACAAAAAGCAGCATGGAGGGTGATTAACAGTCCTAACTTATAATACTCCAAATATAATATAAATGTGAACACTCACTGAAAGCCTGATGAGATTCCTCCATTCTGGTCTCATCAGTGGAATCGATAACAAAGATAACACCATGGCATTCTTCATAGTACTAGGAATTAATGAGAAATCATACAATTTACATTGAGGCTCAAAATTTTACTGAATACAGTATTAATAGTAATTGTAAAAGCCAAGTACAAGCATATATGTGTAATTTTCCATCAATTTTTTCTACATGTCTTCTACAGGAAGATTATGACATATTCAAGTTCAAGTCAGCCAAGATGCAGTGTTCTCCTTTTCAGGCAGTAACTGGTAACATTTACCTTCTGTAATACCTCTTATTACTGTTTAAAATTGCTTAAATTCTTGAAAATTCAACAGGTAAAAGGATTTCTTTACAGGTTTGAAAATTTATTTTACCTGTCATGCGTAAAATAAGGGAGAACACTGAGATGTAAAGTGCACAGTGTAAAAGCCACCCTCTTGATTCAATTACTAACGGAAGGTTAAATTGAAAGTACCAGTTAAACAAAGTATCAAAAGAGCAACAATTACAACATGCAGTATCTTATAATGATGTCACACTAATCATGCATAGGTGAAAGTATTTTTTGGTTTGTAAATTCTTGTGCATTCGTATTCCTAGTGCAGGAAATGCTCATACAGTATGGTTACATGTATATCATTTTAGCCTTTATATTATTATAATCCTATGCTCATACATTATCTACATCGTAGGTAAGTGTGGTCATTCACCAGGAACTTAGTTGGTTATATAAGTTGTACCTTATCCCATAAGGTTTGTAGCTCCTGCTGACCTCCAAGATCCCAAAATATCAACTTCACATGACTCATGTTTATTTTTCCAACTGCTCACAGAAGAAAACAAAAGTTACAAAATTAATGTTTCATTATCATTGGTCTTCTTGTTGATCAATGAACATAGATTTTGTCTGTACATCCAACATTAACCTTTAAACTCCCACAAGTGACCAAGACAGAATTTCTCCTCATGATATCCATACAATATCATGCAGACAAGGGATGAGAATAAAGAAAAATATCAATTATGGGATTACTAATTGATCCGATACCAAATTCTCCAAACTAACATAATGAGAATCATTTGGCAGACAGTAAGGAGAATTACTAATGAGATCTTAGGAGTTAAGGGGTTAAGTGACCCAGCTTCAAAGCAGCTGGTGCCTGTGATCAAACCCAGTTTTGCAGAGTTGTATTGAAAATGATATAAATTCTTCACTAAATTCACATCTGTATGGATTGATCATTCCATTCTGATTGCTTTTGCAAATACGCCACAGCATCTTTTTACATTGTTTTAAGAAAGAAATTAAAGCAACTCACTATTGAGTCCAACAGTTGTTGTGATCTTTTCAAATGGTAAACCACTGTAGTTTTTGCCATACATTCGTTTTATCTGTTCAAGTAGAGTCTAAAAGATATAATGATGGAAATCAATAACAACATTATTATATCGGTTAACTACAGTAAGAGCTTACAGAAATCAGTTGGTCCTTTAAAATTCTCAATGTAGTTTTTGCTAGTTGTGGAGTTTAAGATAGATATTTGGTGTGTCTGGTAAGTCTGAGGTGTTTATCTTTTGAGTTAACTAGTTTTAAATTAGTTGTCTGTGGTACATGTAACTGGTTCTGCTACTGACCACAGACTTGATTCTTGATTAAAGACTCTACCATGCACAGTGAAATTTCTTGGCGAGTTGCAGTAACAGAGCTGTCCACGGGCAACAATGTGATCATATAATCTGTTTTCTTTCCTCTTTTAAAGCAAAAGTTGGGACATTACATCTTCCTTTATCAATAAAAAGTATTTTTAAACTGGAATAAAGGAAATTTTTGTCAGTTTCCTTATTGGCTCTGCCAAGTTAAACACACCACAAAAATATCCTTCATGATTGTCATACTCAAATCCATCTCTCATGGATTTAATTCTGCACTTACACATATTCAACCCTTAATACCCTAGCCTCATTATGCATAATGTCCAAACTGTTCTCTATACATTTCCTAGGGTGCTGACAAGGAGAACTTTTGGGCAATCAAGAATCTCTTTAGATATTGTTTTCATGACCTTCATACTTGATTCAGGGGTGATATTGAGGAAAAAAATTAGATGCCAATCACTCTTAGCAGTCAAAGGGTCAACAGCTGGTATCAAAGTCCTGGTACAGAGTAATTCTTTATTTCCATCTTCTGTGTGACTAAGACACCACTATTTCAATTATGTTTGGCTGGGTGCGACGGAATGTAGAAAATCTACTTACAATTTGAAGTAAGCATTTTCTTATGTTCTATACTTATCAACAGTTTGAGACACTCAAAATTCAAAATCAATTTGAGGTGCAGTGCATTATACTGATGGCTTACTCTGTAACTCTGGTGATGAAAAAGACTGGAATCCTCCAGATCTTGGGGTTATAAAATTAAAGCAGTTGTCCAAAGTTTGAAATTTAAAATTTTCACAATAAATTTTCAACAAGACTTGTCAGAATGTAATGTATTAGAAATTGGGCTCGCTGTGCATGGGATAGTACAGATAATATTATGTAATTTTGCCGTTTGGACGAACATACGTGTAGATCAACGTGGAAAATCAAACCAATTAATCAGGCAGATGGAAAAAACACCGTTTTCATAGTTAGTCAGTTGCAAACATGTAATGCCATGATTTCAAGTCTTTTCAGAAATACGGATTATTGTTTTTGCCTACTTGTTACGTCACCTGAAAGGTCGTGAACGATACTATCTAATTCTGTCTGGTGGTTTACAAAATTACCAGAATATCTTACCGACTTCCCAGCATTGTCCAAGCCAAGGATTAGAATACAGTATTCGTCCTTTTGGAAAAGGTATTTCCATAGCCCAGAAAACAACGCAAACATTATACAAAACCAAAATAATATTACACTAAATGTACAGCTGCTGCCGAAAGCTGGTCATCTATAAGAAATGTAAGTACATTTCTCTCCAAAATGCCCACTCCTGTGGCCAGTAATCACTGAATGTAGAACCCTTCCCAAGTAGTTCTTAGGTATATGAGCCAAAAACCTAGAAGACAAGGTAATTCACTCTACAGACTGACATTTTCGAACCGAATGTGGCTTAAACTGCAATGTCATGGAAGCCATATTGGATTTTACTGAAAGAGGTCTGAGAACTACAGTCGCGTCTTACTCATGTCCATGTTGAGAGTACCGCAGACCTTACGGGCGCGTACCGAACGCACGGAAAGGCGCGAAACTAGGACATTACGTGTCATCTTTCTGGGTATGGTTCAATTTTGGTAACAGATGGTTGCTGAAAATTACCATCTTTATCAAAGGTAAGCTAATAGCTAAATACCGTACAGAAACTATACGCCGTTCACAGTCAAGGAAGGCTTGTTGTTTTTAAACTCTGTAGCTCATTGCTAATCTAGGCACGCAAGCCCACCAAACCCTATCGCCGGGTTCATCAATTAAAAATTTGTTAGAGTAATTCCTGGACTCAAAAGAAAGGATCTGAATCCATCACGTGCGCAAAAATTAATCATCTGAATGAGTATGTTATAAATGATTGCAAACAGTCAGGTTGCGTTGTGCTTCTCCACTGGCTCGTGGCTGAAGGTGAAAAAATAGGCGAGCTTCATATGTCGGTTAGATTTTCGAGAACATACATGAGGAAGAATTTCAACTGAACGTCTGTGTCTGACTGTTCATTATTATCATTATTGTTGTTATTTTTATTATTATTTATAATTTTTTTTTTTGCTTTTTTATGGGACACTGGTGTGATGGTTCAATGTCCGTGACGGTCGAACGTGACTGCCGTCACGAATAACGCCTGGAGTTGTTCTGGAAATGTCACGTTTCCGTCACGGCGGGTAGTAATCGGATTTCCAGGTCAGAACTTACTCCATATTCGACACAGATTTTTTAGTGCGCTGTCGCGGATTTCTAGCCTGTAGGTTTTGTTTGTTTGTTTTAGTTTATGAAGACGCACGCTCGAATCTCACTTGGAAATCGGTTTCCTCGTAATGATCAATTTCGCACGCTGGTGCGCATTTCTTTATAATAAGTTCGTTTAGCCGCTAAGATCAGTCGTTAATCAATAGGCGCGCGCTTGAGCTACTTATAATGACGTCACAAACGTCTCGACGTGAAGTAATTCATTTTAAGCCTTGCAAAAACTCGAACGAATTACTCGTAGAAATATGTAGACTCCGAGGGAAAACACAATTATTGAGCGTTGCATTCCTGGCACGAGATTATTTCTTAAACATGAAGAAAACGACTTTGAGTCCAGGGGGAAAAGAACGATTCGAGGCCGCCCAGCAACTCGGCTGTTTTCCACGAAGCGGAGATAAGATGAGAAACTTACCTGGACCTTCTGGAGAAAGAGGAGGTGGGGATATCTTAAGGAAGACTGCCAAAGATGTTTTCGACGAAAAAGAGAAAGAAATTAAAGAAATTCGAAGCTACTGGCAGGAAGAATATAAAATCAAGGTCGGCGAGGTCGCTAATCTTAAAGCTGCTCTTAAGGAAGCTGTTGAATCGCGAAACACAGAGGTAGAAGAACTCAGAATATCCTACGAAAATACAATACGTGTCCAGAATAGCGAGATTTCCGAACTGAGACGTTCTCTAGATGAACTTATGGCGACCAGAGAGGAGATTCTTGCCTCTGCGGAAAAATCAACGGAAAGTAAGTTACGCGCGAAAGACGCAGAAGTGACGAGGTTGAGAATCTGGCTCGAGGAGGCAAAAAAGTCCAATGCTCAGGGAAGAGAGGTTTTGCATTCGTACCAAGGAAGGCTGCGGGATAAGGAAATGCAGATAGAAGAACTTGAAAAATCAAACAAGGAGACTGTCAAGGCTCTGGAACAGGAATTGGCCAAATTAAAAGCGATTTTATCAGAGCTTATCGAAGAAAAAAATGAAGACAATGAAAGTTCAAAGCGCACCCTTGATAGCGTAATAGAAGAAAAGGAAAAGCAGATGGCGATGATTAAAGAATCGTCAGAAAATTTTATAACCATTAAAGTTGAAGAAAACGAACGAAAAGAAAAAGATATTCAACGCCTTCAAGCAGAGTTAACCGGTAAAGAAGCAGAAATTGAGCTGTTAACAGATTCTGTTACTAAATTACAAAGTATGATAGTAGAACACAAGAACGAGAGGAAGAAACTGGAAGAAGCTTTACGTTCCGCTTCTGAGTCAAGTAAAAATGAGATGGAAGTGGTTCATAAATGCCAGCAGCAACTTTTAGAGCAGAAAGGAAAGCAGCTGATATCAACAGAAATGATGATAAAAGAAAAGGACAGACGCATAGAGGAATTGTCTGCCAAACTCGGGTTCATCGAGGCACAGTTGGCAAGCGAGCTGTCTCAGAAAGAGGACAAGAAAGAAAGCAATTCAGATAAACCTTTGATGAATGAATTGAATGACAAACAGGTGTTATCAGGTGATGTCCGAGCAAAAGAAGACAAAATAAGCGACCTTCAGAAAAAGTTTGGGATAGAATCTCAGGAGAAACAACTCTTGCAGCAGGAATGCAATTCACTGAAACAAGACCTTGATAACTGGAGATGTGCAATGAAGATGATAGAGGAGGAGAGAAATTCCCTTGAGAATGAAGTGAAACGAGTGGTAAGTGAGCTAGAGAATAAGGGCAGCATTTGTTGCGAACTTGAATACAAGCTTCAGTCGTTAGACTCTGTTCGACTAAACCTTGAAGACGTGATTGGCCAGCTTCGTAAAGAAAACGCGGATTGCTCCCAAGAACAAAAGAGTCTGGAATTTGTCATCCGGGAGAGAGATCGAGAGAACAACATGTTGAAGGAAAAATTGATCATTTCTGAAAGATTTTCTTTGGAAATGGAGCATAGGGCTGCGAAAGAGCGGAATAAAGCGGATTTGATAGAAAAATTAGAAAAAAAGTTTGAAGAAACTCAGCAAGAGAATGAGAAACTTAAGATCGACCTTGATGAGAGAGAGAAAGACGTAGCGAACTTAAGCAGCTTACTAGAAGATACAAAACAGCAAGAACACAAACTGGGTGCGGAGCTGGATCAGCTCTCTGAAGAGCTAGAAATACTAAAAGAAAAGTATGCACAAGGAAACGCTGAAAAAGAGGCGTTAGAGAGGTCTTTAACAAATTCTGTTTCCCTGAAACAAAAAGATCTTGACATATTGCAAGAACAATTTGATAAAAGTACCAGGGGTTGGAAAAAAGAGGTAGAGAAGCGGGAACAATTCTGGAAAGAAGCCCTGAGAGCCAAAGATGATCTTCTGAAAGAGGTGAAAGTATCCTTTGACGAAACGGGAAAGTGCAAAGAGGAAGAAATTGAAGAACTTAAGAAATCATTGCAAGAAGCAAAATGGGAGTTCCACTCAGAGAGAGAAACTCTGGAAAAAAGGCTAAAATTTAGAGAGGAGGAGATCTATTTTCTTGAGGAGACATTTGAAGGAAATTTACGGGAAAAAGAAGAAAAGCTTGCGGGACTTGTAGCTGATACCAAGGACATACTACAAAAAAGCGACGAAAGGGAAAAAGAAATGGAAAAATGTAAGGCAGAAATGGACAAACTGACGGAAATACTGCGACTAAAGGGACAGGAGCTTACTGAGAGCAAGAAAAGAACGGCAGAACTTGAAGTTAGCTTACAAGAGAAAGTAGAGCTGCTAGAGAATGGTGAAACAGAAATCAGGGATCTGACTGAAATACTGCGACGAAAGGGACAGGAGCTTACTGAGAGCAAGGAGAGAATGGCAGAACTTGAAGTTAGCTTACGAGAGAAAGTAAAGTTGTTAGAGAATGGTGAAACAGAAATCACGGATCTGACGGAAATACTGCGACTAAAGGGACAGGAGCTTACTGAGAGCAAGGAAAGAATGGCAGAACTTGAAGTTAGCTTACGAGAGAAAGTAAAGTTGTTAGAGAATGCTGAAACAGAAATTAGGGATCAGACTGAAATACTGCGACTAAAGGGACAGGAGCTTACTGAAAGCAAGGAAAGAATGGCAGAACTTGAAGTTAGCTTACGAGAGAGAGCAGAGCTATTAGAGAATGCTGAGACAGAAATCAGGGAACTTCACTCCCGGGTAAACAAAGAAGAACAAAAACACGCTGTAGAAGTAAAGAGTGTAATTCAGTCGGCCGAAGAAGGATTCAAAGAAAGAGAAAATGTTGCCGAAAGAATGAAGGCTATAATACAAAAAAACGCCGTCAAATATCGTCTAGCTGTGCGAAAAAAGGAGGATATGATTTCAGGTTTAAAGAGTACATTGGAAAGTTTGGAAAAAGATACAGCAGACATGCAAGTCAACTTAGCGACTGTTATCCAAGAAACAAGTGAAAATGAAGCGAAACTAAAACACGATTTGAAAGAACTTGAAGACGAAAAAGTATCTCTGGAAAACAAGTTGTCTGAGCTGAAAAAATGTTTGGAGAAGCGCGATGAAGAGTTGAAAATACATGATGATGAAAAACAGAGGATTCTAGATTCGCTAACTCGCGAGAGGCTCAGTTGGAAAGAATTAGAAGAAATTTATCAATCGCTAAAATTGGAAGCGGAACAAAAAGAGCAAACTTTGCGACAAAAAACACATAAGTGTGAAGATTTGGAACGAGAGTTAAAAGATTTCAGTCAAGTGAAGTCTTTGTTGCAGTCGGCCAAAAGAGGAAAAGCTTTATCAGATGAAGCGAAACGAAATCTTATTCACCAGTTAGATGTGCTGAAGCGAGATTCTGATGCGAAAGAGGGTAAAATCGAGATTTTGGTACAAAAGATTAAGATGCTCAAAAAGAACCATTTCGAAACAGCTCAAAAGCAGGAAAAGCTGGAAGAAAATGTGGTCACTTTACAGATTAAGCTAAATGAGAGAGAGACAGAGATAGATGAGTTGGAGAAAGGTCGAGCAATCACAGAAGAGGAAGCATCCCGGCAACTGGAGCTTCTGGAAGACATGAGACTAAAAAAGGAGGAAGTGGCAGAACAGTTGACGGAACTTAAGGAAGTAGTAAATTCACAAAAGGCAGAATTAGGGGAAGCAAAACGGAAAGAGAATGAGTTAAAACAGGTTGTTCAAGAGCTAAAGGAAAGTTTAAATGAAAACGAACTTAACACCAGAGCGCTCGTTTCAAATTTCAAGGATAGCAAAGCCGACAATGAAAGAACCTGCTCAGAATACGAAAACTTCAAGACATCTGCACTGACAAAGCAAGACCATATGCAGAATGAATTGGATTATTTGCACTCCAAATTGGACAGACATGAAGAATTGCTTGCCTTGCTAAAGAACGAGAAGGAAAGTTTGTTATCAGAACTTGACAAGACTAGACAAGCCGATCACAATACCAGAGCAACATTTGAATATTATGTTGTAAATCTTAAAGGAGAGAACGATAGCCTTTCACAGAAGATTTCGTCTTTGAATGAAGAATTGAAGCTCAGAGTTGCAGATAATTCAGAGCTTCAAACTACCCTAACTTCTGCTAATGTTTCAAAAGATTTTCTGTTGCAGGAAATTGAGAATTTGAAAGTTTCTTCCTCGGCTAAAGACGCGAGCTTGTGTGAGACTCACAAATCGCTGGAGGCTATTCAAAAGAAGGAAAGCTCCCTGGAACACGAGGTAAAGAGTTTGGAGTTTAGGCTAAACCTTGAAATGAGCGAGAAGAATAATTTGATACAGAATTTCGAAGAAGTGAAAAATACAACTATACAATTAAAGCAAAAAATGGACGACGTGCTTCTGGAAAAGGAGAACATGATAAAAAGTTTGGAGAAAATGATGCTTCGAACGAAACAAGAAAGCGAAAGTCTTAAGGCACAGCTCAAAAAGTACGATGCCGAACTGAGGGCCGACAAGAAATGTGTTGCAGGTCTTTTGGAAAAGCGAAAAGAGATGAGTGCTCAAATTGAATCGCTGAGAAAGGATAAAGAAATCTTGTCAGTCTCTCTCAAAGACATGGATATGCTTCCGGTAAAACTCAAGGCTACGCAAGGTAGGCAAAATTCGCAAGTATTGAGGCTCCATTAGGGAGTTTGTAAGCATCCTTTTATCCTAGTAATTTTTGGCCAAAATATCCCGTATTCCGTTGATTCCTGTGGTTTGTATCCCTATAATTACAGATCCCTATCTCAGAATTTCTCTTTTAAATATCCCGTTAGATTATTTCCTCAAGTATCCTGTATTGGTAAAATTTTATAACCAAATATCCCGTATCCCGATAACCTCTACTAGGGTCTCAGTATTGTGGATTATCGACGCAAAGATGGTATTGGGGAAAGCTTGGTTCTCAAAATTCATTAATGAGCAGACTTCGAGACTACTTCTTCACTTCTTATCCCTGTTTACATTTAGACATGATTATTTTCTTTAGTATTGATTGTAGAGGAGTTTTAAAATAAATTTACAACCTATCTATATTTCTAATCTGTATTAATTTTTTAGAATCATTAGACAAGACGAAATATTTGCTTAAAGCTGTGAAAGAAGAGTTGAAAGAAAAGACAGAAGAAAAGAACTACCTGTCAAAAGCTGTTCGTGACTTGGGGTCCACGAATGCAGAGGTATAGAAATCAAAGATAAAAAAAGTGATTCATTCTATTTTGATTGACAGGCACAATCAATAACAAGCATCCATTAAACATCCCTCAATAAGTGGTTGCCCATCATAATGTATTCCCGAAATTAACTTTCCTTATTCACTGTGAATTAGATCTCTTTTGAACGGTTGCCTATATAATTTAGGCGGATGCAGTCACCTTTTGGACCCCAACCTGTTACTAATTCTATTGTATAATCCACCTCTATTGAACCTAATATGTTTAATAAGCTGCTAAACTGCAAATGCTGGACGTACTGCATCATTGCCGATGAGACTAGGCAGTAAATTCAGATAATTTGCAGGTTAAAAAATGTCAACAATTTTGTGCAGTTCTCAAGAACACTTTCGGCCTCACTTCGGGTCAGGGTTTTGATTAACCTCTTTTAAACCTTTAACTCCCAAGATCTCATTAGTCATTCTTCTTACTGTCTGCCAAACGATTCTCATAATGATAATAATAATAATAATGATAATGATAATAATAATAATAATAATAATAATAATTACATCTAGCCAGGGTAAACCTGTCAGCAATTGCTGTTATCAATGGGTGCCCTGGAAGTTAGTTTGGAGAATTTGGTATCAGATCAATTAGTAATATGATAATTGATATTTTTCTTTATTCACATTACTTGTCTGCATAATATAGTGAGGAGAAATTCTGTCTTGGTCACTCACGAGAATTAAAGGTTAAGCTGTCATTTTTCCCAAGTCCCTTTGGACTGGGCGAAAGTACGTGACTTCGCGCGCTTGGGATGTCAAAAGTCCGCATACATACTTGATTTGCCACTGTTTTTAAAACGAGTATTCACGTTATGCCTTTTCAGTTAAAGGAAAAACTTGAGGTGCAAACTACAATTAAAGAAGCTGAATTGACATTAATGAGGTAATTGGAATAACATTTAAGATTGTTCGTAATTTGCTTATTTCTTTCCACTGGCGTGGACATCGAACATGTTGGAAAGTATTCACTATCACTTGCTCTTTTGTTTTGTTTCTTGCATTTATTGCTTGTTTCATTATCTTTTTTGGTATGTTTGTGGGTTTGGATTTACGGCCAAACCCCACTTTTGACTCAGTCGATCTGAAGTGTTTCTTAAATTCCACTTTTGAAACTTGATGTCGAGATGATGACCATTATTCTTAGAAGATCACCATTATCTTAGTTATAAAATGTGAATTCGGTTATGGATGAAACAACGTTACTTGTCACCATGGCATCTCACGCAGACAAGTGATTACCGAAGAAAGTAAGGAAATTGGGAGTTAACCCTTTACACCCTAACATCAGTATGCATATTCACCATACTATTCTTTCTACATTTCCTAAGGTGCTGGCAAGGAGAATTTGTTTACCGATCAAAAGCTTCTTTCGTCGGTGATCATTTCCTTTATTCTCATGACCTTAATGTGTGATTTAGGGGTGATATTGTAGGGAGAAATTAGATACTAGTCACTCTTGGGGTTTAAAGACTTAGGCTACTACTCCACTTTCTTTAATTAAAAGCTAATTGGTCTGGGAGTGAAGAAGTTGGATTATTATATAAAATATTTTTTTACCAATTTAATAGGAAACAGCTTGAAGACAAAAATAAAGAGTTCTATGATCTTAAAGTGGCTAGTACTGCACAAGAAATGGGACTAAGAGATGCTCTTTTTAAGATCAAGGATTTGGAGAGTTCACTCAAGAACGAGACAACCTTTCATCAATCAGTAGCACGCAGGTATGAGTTTCCGATGTACATATAACTTTACCGTTAGTCGAATTCCTTTCCTTTTCATAAAACGCAAGCGGCTTCACTGAAATTCAGTCCAGAATTTTCCAAACTATTTTCACGCGCGTCTGTAACGATCACTGGATTTCAAATCCGTCTGATATTTTTTACCATGTTTTTTAATTAAGTATGCAGTCGTTGTGCGGGTTGTGCATAGACTGTTAACTTCACTCAATGCAATAAGCCGTGTGACGTTTCGAAGAATTATTCTACAAACCTCATATATTATTTTGGGTGAACGAAGACTGATATTTTCCGATTTTTTCAACTTTATAAGTTTACTGCACATAATTCCAGTGCAAGCTATCTAACTTAATTTAAAGTTTTAGCGTAATAAAACTGCCTAATGAATGCTTTCAAACTCTGAAAACTCAAATTTAAATCAAATTTATAAATTAAAAAAAAAAACATGCATGCCTCTTGTAAGTATATGGAAACATTTAGTTCATACATTTAATTATTTTGATATGCGTTTGGTTCGGCCTATAACATTGTACATGGAACTTAAGCAAACCACGACCGCAACGGCAACGAGAACGTGGCAAAACAAAAGACGATACGTAATGGGCAGAAGAATGGCTCAGCACGTGTGCCTTTTAAAACTTTGTACATTTCCTAGCCGTTCTCTTCAAAACAACAACGTGAAATCACAGCGCGGTCTAGGAACGGAAACCACGACGACAAGTCAGCTAAGTTTCGGCCAATTCCGTTAGGAACTTAACACTGCTCAGATAATTTATGCTGAAGTTGATGTGTGCCATTCGCAAAACTCGAACTAAAAATTTTAATTCATTTTTTTAATCGACGTCTTCCAAGGCGCAAAGGGTCCCTTTCGAATTATATCCATGTGACCCAAAGTTATCCTGTTTAGGATATATTTCCGACTTATACTGCCGTTTCAGTGAATTGAAACCCTCGAAACACAACAAAAGCTCCACAGAATAGATACAGCAAAACTCAACAAAACTGTCTTTCATAACTAAATTTAACAAGCGGTTGTCTTGTTTCAGGTAAAGTTGTTCGTCGTAAGTCAGCTTTCCACCGAAATTCCTTGTTCAATGATTAAAACATGAACTATCGAACTTACCCATTGAGTGTAGCAATACTGGTGCGTTTGTCTTCCTTTTCCGACATCTCATTTTCCTGACTCAGCGTTATGATATTTGAGTCAGCCAGTGACTCCTGATAAACAAACCGGCTTTTAATGAAACTCCTAGAGAGGCCATAACAAATTATAACAATGGTAATAAAAATATTAATAATTGTTTTGTTTGTTTGGTTGCTTTTTTTCAGAAATGATCAGTTACAACAAGAAATTAATGTATTGCAAGACAGGAATAAGACTGACCTCACTAACTTAAAAAAGTCTCTCGATGATGCTATTGAAAGGTGCTGAAGTGATAAAATTAGTATATTTATTTATGGTAATTAAACACATCACTGTCATGTTGGCTGTAAGACATCCCATTCGTTAGGTACCCATTTGTAGGATGTTAAATAGAACTGTTCCGATTATATCTTCTTCCCCAACATAATCTTCAGCTGGCAACGTACATCTACCTTCCGCTAAATTTTCATTTTTGAGCGCTCTCACAATTCAAAGAAAGTTGAAATTTTTAAAGTCGATTTTTCTTTCTTGTTAATTCATAGTAATGAGATGTGTAATTTTGTCACTACGTGTTTGCTACTTTAACCTTCACAGACTTGAATCAGGGACCATTAATTTTTTTTTCTTGTTTTTTTCTCAGGGAAATATTCGTGCGAGATAAGTGCATCGGGAACCCCAGTGCTCACACCACTGAAAAAGTAGACAACAAAACAGCTCAGAAACTAAAGGGACTTTACCTCAGGGTAGGTGGTTAATGAAATAGTATTTATACAACAAAATTTTGAATTTAGGTCGAATCTCTCCCTTTCATTTTCTTTAATCTTACGACCTCGCTTTCACACACGTATTGTCTGCACCATTTGTCACGAATATATTGAGCCCTGAGAGACTAGTCATTATTTATTGCTGGGGGGGGGGGGAACCGGAGGATTTCGATTGTGTCGCAGTAAAATTTACCTATTTCCCCTATGTTCTGAAGTATGAAGTATTCTATGAAGAGTTTCAATGTTGACGAATGTCACAACGAATGACGAAGGGCTGACGCTCGAAACGTCAGCTCTGAATCTCTTTACGGAAGCCAATTTACATTATCAACAAAGTTGATAGAACCAAACTATCTTCTTTTACCAACGCAGCACCACAGTTTGTTTAGAAACTGATCCCCTTTATTCCCGCCTTTTTTCTCTACTAACAACAACTGATCATGTGTTCCCCTCCCCATAAAGTCCTCTAATCCCCCATGCAATGAAGAATTACAGGTCCCTCAAGATCCCAAATATAATCCGTCTCAGTTTTCTCTCTTTTCAGTTCTTTCTCTCTTGTCATTTGGTGTTTAGGTATCCGAACTTGAGACGCAATTAGAGCGAGAAAGAAGCGAACATTTGTCGTCCATCGCGCGTGCTCGAGAACAAGGAAGAGCTTTATCACAAGAGGGTTGTGAGCTCAACAAGGTTTATTAATTTTTTCCTTTTTTTGCTTACAACTATTAAAAAAACTGTTCTTGCTTTGTATACAGTTTTTGACTAACTCACTGATTACAGATCTATGTTATTTAAATATGTATTGATGTATAAGTCACAATATTAAGCATTTCATCTTAATCATCAACAAATTTAACTTTATAATCTATTGTTTATGATCAAAGTAAGGTAAACTGGTGTGCTGTGCACCTTCAATCAGAATTTACATATCATATTGTTTTTACTGTTTATAATTACTTTGCATATTTGGTTGATTAAAATTGAACTTTACAGAAGAGTTCATACTTAACTGCGATCGGGGATTCCCAACGATACTGCACAATTTTTAGAATTTAACCCCATAGCCTGCTTTGAGTAAGTTCTTTTCAAATTCTGTTTTGTTTTTCTTCATTTGAAGGTGATTTAGGGTGACATATGTACTTCCGATATATTTTTTGCCAGGCGCGTCAAAGGAAGCATGCTTTTGAAGGTCTGCTGACACAAGGAAAGTTCCTTTATCAGCAATAGAAAGTCATCGTCAAAAATAGAACTTTGGTTGCAAGGCGGGATATTAAAAAAAAAATGATTATCAGGCCTGCTTAGTTTGTCAAAATAACTATACAAACTAGCGAAAAAACCCAACAACATCGAAAAAAACTTACCTTGATCTCGGGCTCAAAATGTACCGAGCCAAAGTTAAGATAAGATGTATTATGCCGTCGTGCCCACAAGCAAGACGTTGAAATGTTTTCTTTTCTTTGGACCATGCCAGAGAAAACTTGAGTGTTATCCAATGGGCAAAAATATAACTTAGTTTTAAAAAACATGGAACAAAAGGGCCCTCTACAGTATTGAATTAAGCTTAGATCTACGCATGTTAAGAGATATCCGAGCGCGAATCAAAGGGAGATCTGCAGATGATCATGTTATGATTGTTATGATAACCTTACCATTCCCTCTATTGACCCCAGCCTCGTTTACCTGATGAGAACCAGAATTAAACGAACCTCCTCCCCCTGAGGCTCCTGAATTTGTGCTGCCATTAATCCCGCCTCCCGAATATCCCCCTCCACCACCCCCATGAGTCATTCCAAAACCCCCTCCACCAAACCCCCCATTATTCACGAAATGAAATCCTCCCGTAGCACCCGAAAGGAAACTCTTCGCTGGGTTTCCATTTCCATCAGCGTCTCCATCGCCTATATACCCAGCTCCTGAGCTTGCTTTGATTTCACCATTATCAAGGGCTTTATGCGCTGTGTTAAACCGCTGCCCTCCTGTTCCATCGTGCCCGCCGTAGCGAGTGCCATTTTGGGTTGCTTGACCTGGATCTCCATCTTCAAAGCCTGCTTTGGCAAGACCTCCTCCTCCTCCCCCTCCGGCAATGATAATCTTGGTCCTGTCAATTGCAAGAGTAACAAACGTGCCACCACCCCCTCCCCCAGGACGCTGCGAGAAGGTATGGGTTGGGAGACCCTGTTGACCTATGACAATCCTGAGCCTCGTGTCCTTGATGAAATAGAAAGTTCCTTTTATCCTCGCTCCCAGTCCACCGAGCTTCCATTCTACGCAACTCTGACACGTTCCATTACCTCCAGACGCGCCAAGAGCTTCTATGGAGTAGGTCCCGGAGATAGGAACTTTCCAAAGCTGGTATCCATTTTCAATTTCTACTTGACCCTCTAAACTGGTGCCACTGTAACCCACTACTTCCGCCGTTGTTGGTCCATGTGGGCCTTGAGCTCCCAATGATGTTAAAGTATATCGTTTCAGTTCAGCATCAACAAACTCGCCATAAACATATCCTCTGATAGGCGTGAGGGTCACTTCTCGGTCGCCATGACAACGGCGCTGGTTAAGCTCGCACAAACCTTCACTGTCAATTTCTTGTCGTTTTTTAAAGTTAAACGAGAGACAACCTGGTTTTGACAAGCAAAGTTGCGAACATACCATGCTTCCTTTGGCAACACGACTGAACATCACATGTCCTACCAATGCATAGTTATGTCGAGTGCCGATCAAAGACGACTTCCAGACGTCGGAACGTGTCAAGGCCAATGAGAGCGGAGTGAAACTCAGTAAAAGAATCACATTTAGTGTGACCAAGTTTCTGTAAAAATAAATATGTTATAAATTAATCGATATAAATGGGTTTTTTTTACTTTGTTTTGTTTCGTTGTTTGTCTGTTTTTGTTTTGAATATTGCTTTTACTAATAGAGATGCACTCTTTCTGATTCTTCGAATAAAGAGACAGAGAGGAGGAGTGCTCTTGCTTCAGGCCTTTGTAAACGTAAATTCTGTTAGTGTTATTTTTGGATAGTACCTCCAACGCATGAAGGTTAACCTGGAACTGATGTTCCTCCGGAACACAATTTTATGGCGGAAGGCGTTGGGACAGCTAGCTTTGTTGGCGGAAACGAAAAAAAGAGGTAGGGGTTTTGAAAACTAAACCTAAGGAAACCTATGTATTTCCCTAGGTTTAGTTACATTTTTTGGTCCATGCGAAACAGTGAACGTGATCGAAGGCGGGTGTTTTCAGATAAGATATTCGCTCCATGTCCTCGCAGTCCTGATCGTCTTAAGATAATTTTGAATTTAAAAGATTATTTGATACAGAAAAAAGATATTTGAATTAATTTTTAAAATTTTTATTTAATCATTCAACGCTAAGTCGAAGAAAGTCTTAAGGGTTTTTTTGTGGAGGTTTCAGTTCAAAGTATTCGCGTTAACTTACGTGCTGTTATGCTGTGTAGAAAAGTGAGCTTACCGACATAGAGGCCTGGATGACGCATACAATGTCACAATAAAGCATTTTCCATTTGACTTGCTTATAGCATCAACAATTTTTAAGTAGAACTCATTTATACCACACATAATCGATCTTTGACATAGCAGTTACATTACCACAACAAAGTAATGCGATTAAGATTTGGACTTTGTTTTGGAGTTATGAATCGAGCGTCAAAATAATTAAAAGTTGAACATGTTGAAGTGGTTTAGTTGCACAGAGTAATTTCACTGACAATGCCCAGTGTTACATTTAGCTATGAAAATCTGCTTTGTTTGTCTCTTTAACCTTTATGGCACTAGTCGGTTAAATTGATTTTATCCTTAATCAAATTTAAGGAAACTTTATTCATAAATCATTTTTTTCTGTCTAAGGAATTTGTTGTCGAAGTAAATTCTGGTTTATTTTGCCTTTAAGTTTCGAAAAATCACCAGATTAACATGATCGTCTGCGATTACGAACAAGGTCTTGCGTACGAAAAATCTTGAAAAAATTGTTGCCCAATTTTTACATTAAACTTAAATGAAAAATTATCCTACCTTCTGGACTTTACTTTAACCATCTTGTTGACCATCCCGAAATTCTAAAGGTTGTGACGAATTTCGACTTTGTAAAAGGCTGTCAGCAAAGGAAGGAAATTTCACAATGTTCAAAACTAACGAGATACAAGGAAAGTGTAATCTAGCGAGCCTTCCGCCATCGCTAATAAATGTTTGCTCAAATGCACTAAAACCCTAAATTGAGTAAACTTATATGTCAGTCACAAACCGCTGATGTCAGAGTTCAGTTCGTCACCAGCTGTTTCGAGAAAGGTCTTGAAGAAGCCCGCCGCTTGTAATTATACCTCATTATCTTTCTTTAAAGGTTTAAAAAGAAGAAAACAAAACCTGCTAATATAACGCAACTACAAAGTGCATAATTTCAAACGTTCCCGTCAAATTTCAGACGTTTCTCGATGATTTCGGAGGTGCCTTCAGATTTCAGGCTTAGATAAGGTCTTATTTTTGACGGTTCAGCCATAATCCAAATGGTTCCTATTCTTTAAATGCAGAAGTTCTCATGGTGTGCGAAATGCGCGAAAACTGACGTTATTTCGCACGGTTTATGGCAGACGACAACACTCGATTGGTCAACGCACCATAATGTCGACGTCCTTGTATATTCCAGACAACCGTGGATTTTTAACTCGAATGCGTTAGAACGTCACCAATTTTTCCACGAAATGCAAGGGAAGAATTGATGGAACCGTCTTAACTTAAGCTTCCACGAGACTTGCGTTCATTTCTGAATTGACAGAAGCACCTCATCAAAGTTTTTATACGCGTTCGTCAACGCTGTTTTGTTTAATCCTTGAGGTGATTGTTGGTATCCCTGACCAGAAAGATTTCCAGTGGAAATCATCCTTATGCAAGCTATGGTATTTGATTGCAAATTAAGGACTTGGTGGCTGTAGGCTTAGATGCAAACTGTGTTTTATCTTGAATGTCAATATACCGTGTGATTAACAAAAATGGGCGACAGCAGCTTTTGAAGGTGCAATTCTTCGTAAGTAATAAATTCATTATTGACTGAGTTTTTTTGGTCAATGACACGAGTTTATTGAACTCATTTGAAGTGCAGCGTCTGAACTGGCCCTAGTTCTCCTTCAAATTATTTATATTTTAAATATTATACTTATATAATTTATATTAAAGCAGCGAATATGATTTGCAGTTTTAAAGATAAGTTAATTCTCCCATTTATTTTCCCTTTGTCAACAGGAAGGATGTTTGTGAAAAGGATTTGTAATGGAATAATCTGACATGTTTCAATTCAGTAAAATTTAATTTGTGAATTTCTTGCTTTTCCTGTTTTACCTAACAAAAGAGTGAGATTTGAAATGCAAATAATTATACATGCGGGCTTTGGTTAAGTAATTAATTGCTAGGCTAGCGGTATCCTTTTATCAGATTCCTATACGATCTCCCACGTGAAGTGGTTACACCTTTGCCTCCACTATAAGAAAAGTCTATATCAAATGATGACGCTGAGCGCGTTTGAAGAATCGTCTTCAATTGCCATTGCCCGTACTTATCATTTAGTTGATTTGACTGAGTAGTTTTATGTTCTCATATACGTTAGTTTTTGCCTTTCCGCGGTACTTCTTCTGTAATAGTTTAATTTGCATGGCAAAAGCGAAAAGATGGACAAAAAATCGAAACAGCTAATAATTATTCAGCTATAGGCGACGGTTTGCACTGAAGATGTATTGGGCTCTCTTCGGCAAAGATATTAGAAAATAATTCAATATGAATAAAATAAATAAGAAGATATCTAGATATGCCTCTCAAATTAGAAGATATCTGACGAAGGGCTAGCACTCGAAAATCGGCTTTGAAGTGCTTAACGGTCGCCAATTTACGTTTTCAACTCAGTTGATGATACTAAATTGCCAAGATATTTTTTTACCATGTTTGCAAATGTAAGGCTTTCTATTGCTGTGAGCAGCTACATTATTGGCTCACACTGGCGTTTTCTTCTGTACGAATCTAAAATGCTTGTTTAAATTTAAGTCTTCATAACTAATTCAAGTAAGATAAAAGGAATTAAAAGTTGAAGCCTAAAAGCGGGAACCCCTAAGATGAAAGATTGAGGCAGTACAACTGAAATTAAGAGAAAGTAAATGGAAGAGATGGTGCAGCGGAGGTACAAATGAAGTTAAAACTGTTTGATGTAAATATTTTGAAAAGGTGATTAGGGTCGAAAGTGGATCTTGAACGATATATTTATAATCGGACATTTAAATGATGCCATCATCACTACATTCATGGTTTTAGATAGACTGAGAAGGTAAGTTGGTTTATCATTCTATTTTCAGGGCACGTTTCCCGTCATTTTGTCTCAGTTCACCAAGTGTTCTCGTAATGTTGGCCACTGACTTAACTCCTGTCCCTTAAGAAAGGATGCTAAATTTTTTCACTACGCGCAGTGAAATATTGCAACTGAGACCATTAATACGGATGTAATTACTTTTCCTTAGAAATCGATAGCAGAAAGTTTCATTTTTTTATTCGTATTTTCCATTTTCACCGATTTCTCACTCAACAGACAACATTGTTAATAAAAAGGACACCTATTATACAGTTACTGTTAAATACTTCATTTTATTTTTCGATCTACCTAGGTACATTATATATTTCTTCTCATTTTAAAACGCCTGGGTCGCTCGAAAGTCTCATTTTCAAGTTAAGCGTTCAAAATATGTACCCAGAATAGGCACCTCAAAATGACTGCTACGGCAAAGCTTTAACATAAGTTTAACCAGATTTTAGACGGATGCGAGCATAAAAAACTTAAAATGCACGAATATCGTTTAAAGGTCTTGATGCTGATACAGAAAGTAACCTTTCAAATTATATTTCGAAGATCATCCTTTTTTCCTGAACGTCTAACTTCAGCAGGTATAAATGAAATGTTCTGTTTTAACCCATAGAGAGGAGCAGGAATAAATGAAGAAACCTCCTGTGCCTAAAAAAGAGTTTGGTAGAGAAAGTTGCTTTGGATAAGCACGGTCTAGCTATGAATAGTTATAGTCCTTGCTCTCTATAGGTCAGTTCAGTTTGTTATTTGTCAGCGTACCATTAATTTGTAACATAGCTAGTAAATTTGTGTAATCAAATTTAATTAGGTGAGCATGTTTCAGCAAACAAATACCTCTAGAAAAAAAAATTTTTTCATATATACATGGTGAGGTACTCACTGAAAGGGTGCAAAACACAGTATTGGTGATAATCCATTCAAAGGCGTGTGCCGTATTTTGCTCGTGTGGAGAAAACGACACGTCCAATCAGGAGCCGCTTTTCATGCTTTTTGAAGTGTGAACCATAACAATGGGATTCTCATTCATGCTTCTTTGGCAGCGTTTAACTTCTCAACTGTTTGCAAAATTGTACAAATTATCTCGCTGACGAACTGTTTTCAAAGTTGAATTCCTCGAGAAAACGAGTAAGAAAAGATCTGGGTGAGATTTCCGCTCTGCCTCATACTATTGTAAAACAAAGCTTTGGTCCCAATGGTAATCTGTTGTTTTTGCTATTGTTTCTTTTATCCAATAACTGTATGCACAACGAAATATAGGGCAGTTTGGAAATCATAAAAATATTTGTCGCTTTTGAAAATTCAACGGATTTTTTTCGAAGGCATGGAGAAAAGAAACAAGAAAAGCAAAGACAAGGTGAGATGAGCAACCATTCGAAGAATGTCTGAGAGATGAAAGAGCGTAAGTACACATGATTGAAGAAGTAATTTGCGGAGTTAATCACCTTGTTAGACGTAACTTGGAGAAGATTATTAACCCACAGAATACGCCATAGGAAGTCTGTCCGAATGGTATTTACGCACTGTTTGGTTATTATCAGAAATCTCAATCGCTCGTCACTGATTTCTGATACTTACCGATTCGTGCATAAATACCATACGAAAAGATTTTCTGTGAAGTATCCTACAAATCCGCCATTCCAAAATTCGTCCAGTTTAGCTGCGAGTTTCAAAGTTTACAAGATGGTTTTCGATGGTTTTTTTTATCGTTCCATCACGATTGAGACAGTCCTTTTTGAGATCAGAATGAAAATTAAATATTGAAAGGAAACGATTTGGAAAACAATAGGCATTTAAGCCTTAAAAGCGACTACATTAGCTTTCGAGTTAACGATGCTTTGATTCAAAAACGCGATACAAATTATGGCTAGTAAATGAAAACTGAACTTGTTGACTTAAAGTGAGGCATTGCTTATTTTGAACCGTTCTTTGGACCGGTATAAATTTTGTAATGTTCCTTATTGTTGAACAGAAACAGGGAACATCCATACACAACGAATATGTATCATTCCTTTTCAGTTCTCTTTTTTTCACTCACCTCTCAGTTACACTTTCATTTAGAAACGTCATGCTTTACTCCAAGCGATACTTAAAAGTATATGTAAATACCGAGTTCTTTGTTATAGCGACAGTCAAACAGTTGGGCCAAAGGCGAGATATTCTGTTTCTCTAGAATCTTTCTTAATAGTTAAGGCTCAAGTACTTTAAGTTTACTAACATGATGATGATTAATATTTAATTTTTAGAGTGTGAAGGTTTACTCAGTGGCAATGACACAACCTATGTTATCCACTGCTATGTAGCTGGTCAACAGAAATCTAAACTCTTGTGATACCTGTGCAGTACAGAGATGTCGCATTATAAATAATGATTCTTTTCAGGAGATTCTCTACGAGTCCCATTTTGGTGTTTCTTTTCATCAGGTGAGCGTTCTCCGATATACTCGGAAATCTTATTGTTATTTGTTCCCGAGAAGTCACCTTTTAAATTGGCAATCTAAAAAATATATCCGCTGTTCTTGAGATGAGCCCACGCTCCCCCCCTATGGAGAGTGAGAAGGACGAAGACCAGATTCAAGCGGACGGCGAGAATCGAGCCCATTAAATTTACGGAGAGAATATTCAAACAAGATTTGGTCAATGTATTGCTCAAGAACAGAACTGAGACGCAAAAAATAGATATAAAGTACAACATATAATAATGTCCCCAAAGAATTTCCTTTAAGACCAATTGTCTGTTATATTTTAGTCTTATTAAAAACCTCAACCGTA